AGTCCTGTGCTGTTGGCCATACCGGATTGTAGCCTAATACAAACAGCTACTGTTTTTTACCAGCCTTACAGCTCTGGCCTTCCCAGCCCCCAACCCCAGCACTTTGCTTGGTGCTTCTTGTTCCTTATCTCATTCAATTCTCAAAGCAAACCTATGCAGTTACTATTACATTGCCAATTTTATAGATGGCAAATCTCAAGTTCAGAGAGGGCAAGTAACTTGCCCAAGATCACACAGCTAGCCAATGGCAAAGCTGGGGCCCAAACCCAAGTTGGCCTGTTATAGTAACCTCCCAAATTCCACCCCCCTCCCATGGTCACAAGGCAGTGGCTCCCGAACCTCCAGCTTCAGGATTTGGGGGCATCCTTCCCCATCTGGGAATTCAATTAGTCAATCACTCAGTTCATTTGGTATTTCCTGGGTGCATTTGTGAGGCTCCAGTTGGTTGCCTGAGACAGAACCCCACCAAACAAGTTGGAACAATATAAGGAATTTCTTGGCTCTGATAGATGGATAGGATGATGGTGCAGTTCACAAGACTGAAAGGGGCCAAGGCCATGAGAACCAAAACGGGGACTTAACGCTGCCGGCACGCTCTCTCAACTCCTCTCCTCGCCGTTGCCTCACTTGGCTTCCCAGATCAAGTGGGAAAGGCGGCTTGTCAGCGGACTCCGGCCCATGGCATCTAGCTCTGGGCCCCAGAAGGAACAGGCTTCGTCCTCCAGCATCTACATGTCAGTCCCGGGAAGGAGTCGATTGGTCCTGCTTGGTTCGATGCCCACCTCTTGAACCAATCCCTTTCGCGGTGGGGTTCTGCGATCAGTGCAGTCCAGGTCACGTGCCTACCTGTGGCGAGGGGGCAGGGATGGGTGGGAGTGGTGGGCACCGTAACTGGCAACCAACAGGAGGATGACAGGGAGGAGTTTCCCACAGGAAAGGGAAGCCAGAAGTGGGATGGTGGAAAACAGACTACAGAGGTAAAGTCACTAATTGTCACAGTCTACTACACTGGTCCATGTGGGAGATAGGGCCAGAGACACACAGACACCATCACGAGGCGTTCACAGACTCACAAGGAAATAAGGTTTACAGACCCGAAGCCATTAATCAGAACTGGTAGCAGCCACCATCTATGGAGCACGTTCCAGGTGCCAGGCACTGGGCCAAGTACTTCCATGCACGTTATCTTATTCCATGCTCACTGTGACCCTGGAAAGTAGGTGCTGTTATCATCTTTATTTTCTGAGTCAGAGGGACAGTAGAAAACAACCTTTTTTGTTTGTTTGTTTGTTTGTTTTGGCAAGACAGCCAACTCAGGAAAAATTAAAAATGTTTATGGGCTCCTCATCCCTGCTCAGAGAGGTTAAGTGATTTGCTCCAGGTCACACAGCTAGCACATTAAATGAACATCCTGAGAAGCATTTGGTTAAGGGCCCAAAGAGTGCTTTCATTTCTCTCTGTAGACCAAAGGATTAGGGAATGCTGCCTAGAGGGTAGGGGCAGGGGCAGGCAGGTGAATCCAAGCAGAGAGATCTAAAAGATGGGACATCTGGGCAGGTGGCCAGGGAGGCTGGGGGGAAGAGAGGATGGGTGAACTCCAGACACTAAGGTATGCACGCTTGTGCACCACCCAGACCCTGCCTATTCTTTCTTGCCTATGGCAGCCCTTTGGAGGTTCACAGAGACCCCTTTCTCCCGAGTCTCCTCTTCTTCAGTCTGCCCTGCCCTGCCCTGCCCAGCCATTCTGCACAGAACATACACACCAGGCCCCTCCCCTCCAGCACCGGGCTGCCTTCCTGTGGACATACCCAATAAATTGAGGTCTTAGGCATGGTTTGATCCACACCAATGACAGAAGAAATGTCACCTCCCTTTTTCTAAACATTGCACTTCTATTAATGACATCCAAGATCAATTCAGTATTAAACAGTCACATTCCACCCTCTCAAACCGAGCTCAGTGTCTCCTAATACTCCCAGTTCAAGCATAGCTCCCTCATTCTGGAAGAGAGCAGATGATTCCGTGGACCTAAGAAACTCATTTTTTCAGGCTCAGCCCGTTTTTGACCTTGGCCATCCCTTAGCATCACTGCTGCCACAAAAGTAATTGGTGGGATCGACTGATCCGCTTACATGAGGTCCCTAGAGTAGTCAGATTCACAGAGACAGAAAGTAAATGGTGGTTGCCAGGGACTGGGGGAGGAGGAAATGGGGAGTTGTTCAGTGGGTACAGAGATTCAGTTTGGGATGATGAAAAGGTTCTGGAGATGGATGGTGGTGATGGCTACACAACAGTGTGAATGTACTTGATGCCACTGAACTGCACACTTACAAATGGTTAAGATGTTAAACTTATGTGTATTTTACTACAATTTTTTAAAAAAGTGATTATATCTACCTTCTCAGGAGAACATGTCCCCAACCCCAGGTGGCTGGATTTTTACCCCCACAGCCTCTGGCATCCAGAAGGCACTTCCTGAGCTGAATCTCAGAGAAGGAGGAGATGCCCAGGGCCTGCAGTAGACCCTATGAACACTGTCTGCCAGAACTTGCAGACCATATAAAACCATTAGCACCCACAGCACGGTTACTGTGCCTGGAATTCAAGCCCCCCAGTGGGCCAGCTGCAAACCATGATCCAGCCCCACCTCTCTTGACCCCTCATCTGCTAAAGATCTCCACTGTCCTGTCATCTGAACTTGTGAAAATGTCATCTGTACTCACTAACTCCTAGTCCTCACCACCCATTCAGTCCTCAGTGCCCAACAATTTGGCTTCTGTCACACCCCACCCCAAACCATTTGCCCCTGCCATGTCACCAGTGGCCTCCTAACTACCAAGGCCAATAGACACTTTCTGTTCCTTCTCTCACAGTACTTGCTGCCTCCAAATGCTCTCCTGGGCCCACACGGCTCCCCACTCTCCTCGCCCTTCTCCTGCCTCCCCGGCCACTTCTCCATCTCACTCACCGACTCTTTCCCAAGTTCCAGCCGCACCTACTGCTTCCGTTATTAAATACTTCTACACAGTGTCCCTGCTTAATCTCATCCTCTCTAATGATGACTCAAATAAACCAAAACATTATTCTCATTCCCCAGCCTCTCTCCTGAGCATGGACCCGTATAGTCACCTGTCTGGTTTCTCCCCTCCTGTCCCAAACTGGACCCCTCACGTTTGCCCCAGACCTGCTCTTCCCCTCCATCCTCTGACTCAACCAGTGGCACAGCCATCTGCCCAGCGTCATGGGCTTCAAGCTGCAGACATCCTGGACTCCCCTCCTTCTCAAAGTCCAAATAGTCTGTAAGTGCTGACATGTTCTCAATTACTTCTCAAAGCATCCCCTCCTCCCCATCCCTGTTGCAGTCAAGCCCCTCTCTCTCAACTCATCTTAGTAACAGCCTGCTAACCTGTGGCCATACCTGTGGCCTAGCCCTTGAACCCACCATCCATAAATCCACCATCCACAACACCCCAGAGCTCCCCTCTGCCCCAGGATAAAATCCAAGCTCCTAACTGAGGCCTCTGAGTCTCTCTGTGATCGCTGGTCTTCCTCTATCCCACTCTCCCCAGAGCAATCAAATGATACATAAAAGGCCACAGTTGACTTAAACTCCCCTCCCCCATTTCTGCTCCTGAGCCTTTGCTCCTACCCTCCTCCCAGCCTAGAAGCTGATGCCCGCCTCCCCCACACTGACAGTCACCTGGGTAACTCCTACTTCTCCGTGCAGATTCAGCTCAAGGTTGCCTTCCTGGGACAGCCTGCCAGGCCTGGCCTCAGTTGCTCTCCCCATCCCCAGACGCAGGTTACCATTGCTTCTAGAACCTGCCTCTGTAGTTACTCAGGAGTATCCCCAAGAGCTGCGAGCTTCCTGAAATGATACCTTTCCTTCTCGTAGCCCCAGAGCCTAGCATGGAGCCTTGTATACGGAAGGTACCGAATATATGTTGAGTAAATAGTTGAATAGTTGAACAAAATGATCCGAGTCTAAGGCATAGCCTCCAACCCTCAGCCCTGCCCAGCCCAGGGCGTGGCACACAGTAGGTGCTGAGTAAAGACGGGCTGTATTCTAGTATCTGAATTAATCTGCTCTAAGGCAAAGTCTGGGGTAGTCTGCGGTGTACCGGGGGCGGAGGATAGGGCACGGATGCGGGAAACTTGCCGCCAGGGAAGCCTGGGGTGCACCGCAGCGGGGGAGGAGGGCACTGGGGAAGTCCGGAAAGGTGGGAGGGGAACGGGGCCCTAGTCCGCCGCTCCCGCGCGGCGCAGGCCAGCGGCCCGGCCCGGCCAGAGCGCCCCCAGCCGCGAGGCGCGGGACCCTTCGGCTCACGCGGCGGGGAGACCCCGGCTCGCACGCTCGGCCCTCGCGCCGGGAGGCGTGTGTGTCGCTTTAACAGCTCCCTCCCGGCGCGCCGGGCCGGCCCCTTCCCCGGCAGCGCGAGCAGTTTTGCTGTCCGAGAGCGACGGCGGGCCTGAGGGCAGCAGCTGCGGGCCGCTTCGCGGGCCAGTTCCGCTGGGCAGGTGGGCGGCCGGGCGGCCGCGCGGCGGCGGCGGCGCTCGGGAAGCCGGCCCAGGCCGGGAGCGCGGCGGGCAGGGCAGCGAGGCAGCGGAGGGGCCGGCCCCGACCCCGCGCCTGTTTGCCCGCCGCAGCGACCCGAGCCCGGCGGCCGCGCGGGGGCGAGCGCGAGCGGGGGAGCCGAGCGGAGGCTGCGAGCCCCGTGCGCCCCGCCCGGCGCGCCGCGCGCCTCCCCTCCCTTCCGCCTCGCCTCGCCTCGCCTCGCCTCGCCGGACCCTCCCGCCCGCGCCCGCCGCCGAGCCCATCCGGGCGGCCCTCGGCTTCGCGCGCTCGCGGCTGGGCCCGGCGGACCCGGCCCGCGCCACAGCCGCCCCTCCCCCGGCCCGGCGCTCTCCGGACCTTTCCGAGCGCGGACTGAGCCGCGGGAGCGTCCTCGCCCCGGCCGCCGCGGGGCTGGGCTGAGCGGACCCTCGCGGCCGCGCCGGACGCCGCGGGTGCGGGGCGCGGACCAGCTGGGTGCGGGCTGAGCGCGGCCCGGCCGGCAGCGGAGGGCAGACCCCGGCGGAGCCAGGACCGGCCGACTGGACTGCACAGAGCGATTCCCGACGGGGCCGAGCCCGGGAAATGCCGGGCGTGGGCTGAGGGGATCCCCGCGCCCTCCCAGCCCTCCGACTTTGGCTCACGCGCTGGGACCGGACCGGCGTCGCCTCGGCCGCCCTGCGCCCGGGTCACCTGTGGCCGCGGAGCCCCGAAATCGCCGGACCCTCGCTCATTCCCGACCAGGAGCCTGGCGAGGGTTGAGGGAGGTTTTTCCGGCCCCTTCCCCGGAGCGCGGAGGCCCCGCCCCCTCCCACCGCCCAGATGTCCCCGGCCGCGGCTCGGAGGACCTCCCTGAGGCCAGGGGCCGAGAGGTCCAGAGAGAGAAGCCCGCCCTAGGGGGCCTGGGGGCCCCCCAACCTCGTCTTGGGGCTTGGCCCCTGACGCTGCTAGGGGGGAGGCCGGTGCCCCCACCCGCGGTGAGTCCAGGAGCGGGGGTTCTGACGGAAGGCGGGGCTGGGGGAGGGAGGGTCCGCTGGGAACGAGGGCACCCTGGGGGCGCTAAAAAGGAGGATGGGTGACTGGAGAGGCCCTCTGGTGAACCAGCGGGCCAGGCCTGGCTGGCGGGGGGAGCCGCGGCCAGGGTGCCCCATAGCAGGCTGAGGACTTCTGCCTCTAAAGGCAGGGGCTTCTAGAGGAGGGGCTGTGCTGTCAACCATCTGCCTCCACCACCCTCCCCACAAAGAAAAAACAAGTCCCCAGCGAGGAAGGGTGCAGGCAGGGGAGAGGAGGGAGGCAGCAGTACTGCCTTGCCGGCTGGTGCTGCAGCCTGGGAGGGCTGATGCCAGGCTTGCTCTCTCTGCAGGGGGCTGCCCTCTTCCAATCCAGCTCTCTCCCCAGAGCTGCCCACATCTGGAGCCCCCTCTACATCTGGAAGACCCTGGCCACTGTCCCTCTGCAGGTGTCAGTTACATCCAGAGACCTGTGCTTTTGCAGCTGCCCAGTCGTGAGGGGATTACTGCTACCTCCCCTATCCCAAGGGCATCTCTTACCCTTAGTCCCTGCACAGTCATCCCCTGCCTCTGTGTTCAGGTTCAGGCAGAGATCAACTCTGCACACCCACAGGCACTTCAAGTCCTGGAGGCCACTCCTGGGACCCAAGGCCCCTCCCCTGCTCTCTGGTGTCCTCACCTTGACCCCTCTGTCCGACTCTGTCTCCCTCCGGGTGTCCTATTCCCCACCCAGAGGCAGAGGAGGCGGGGTGGCAGGGGGCAGGGGCTGGGTGAGGGCCGCCCAGGGCCAGGGTAGGCTGGGGGGCCGTTAAGATGTGGAGCTCTGCCCAGTTGAGGGGGGCTCCGTGGAGGCAGACGCAGTGTGTGCCCGGCTGGGGGGAGTATGGGCAGGCCTGCGGCCACGTGGTGAAGGATGAACATTCGGGGCGCCCCGGACCTCGGGCAGCCCAGTGACGACCCCAGCAGTGGTGGTGAGCGGGAGCGGATTCGACAGCGCATGAAGATGGTCATCGGGCAGCTTGAGGACATCCTTCGGGAGCTCAAGGAGGTGGCCAAGGAGCTGAGGGAGGTAAGTGAGGGGCGAACAGGGGCCAGGCAGACCCCACACCAGCCTTCCTGGGTTGGCACAAAAGTGTACTCATGTGTTTGAGTGTGCAAAACTGTGTGCATGTGTGCTGCTTTGCTGGGGACCTCCTTTCTCCTTTCCCCAAATCTGCTTTGCTGAAAATCTCACCATGCCCCATGACTGGAGGGCCCTCGGTGTTGCAGAGATTGCTTGGGCAGCATGTCTGTGGGCCCATAGCTCTGGAGTTAGCACTCACGGGTGCCAACGTGGCCAGTAAGGACCAAATCCCACTACAGCTCCTTAGTGGGAGACTCTTCTGGGACCCAAGCTGACCTTTGACTCTACCATCTACCTCCCAGACTTGGACCTGGTCACAAGGGGCACTGGGAAAGTGTGGATGGCGTCCTCGCTGCTTGAGGCCCATTTCAAAGCATTCCCCCAGAGATCACACAGATACTCAGAACTCTTGATCCTGGAAAAATTAAAGTCAGCTGTGCCCTCCCTATCTTGGGGTAAGAATGGGTCTGGGGGCCTGCTAGTGGTGTCAGAGTTCCTGTGGATGTTGGCAGGGGCAGGAATCTCCTCTAAGGGGTTGCTTCTCCACCCCACGGTACTGAATGTTTTGTCCAGGGCTGAAAAGCCACCGAGAAATGCTGGGATATGTATGTCCCTCTCTGTCTCTCTAAGTGGAGCCCGGTTTAATTACTGCTTCCCACATCGCTGGGGTAATGAGGTACACATGTCCTCAGCCCTGCCCCCTGGGCTGCGTTCAAGTCCAAAATGCATGACCAGCGTTCTGAGCCACTAGCCTGAATTTGCCCGCTGGGTGCCATTACACCAGCCAGGTGGGCTTTAGGCAAATTTCAACTCCTTGTAACCAGGGCCCCTGCAGAGGTGGCAGGGAGAGTGATTGAGCTAGAGTTATGGGCTCAAGCTCTCCTGGCCAGCTGTGCAGGGAAGATAGGGGCTCCAGGAGGGCTGAGGAGGTGGGGTGATGATGGCTACCAACTCCAGGCTGGCAAAGTGGCATTCCAGCCTGGCCTGAGAGCCAGGGAGAGGGGTTGTTTTAAGGGCACTGTGTTCAGAGTCAGGGTTTGGGTGGTTATAGAGATGCCAGGACAGGAGCTAAGGTTGGGCGTGGTAGCCCCTACGCCTAGGGTCAGCCTCATGGAGCCTGCCAGGAAACCCTGTCTTAGGAGGTAGAAATGACTGTTGCTTCATAGGTCGTGGTGTTACTGCTCATGGACTGGACTGGACTGGCCATGGTCTGGGCTGAACATCTTTGGGCAGTACAATTTAGAGGTCAAAGGCCAGATGCCCCTGAGCAACCCCTCCTCCTCCAACCTCATGGATCCAAAGAACTACATTGCTCCCTGCCACCTCACCCCCCACCCCTGATCTTATTTCAGATGCTCTGTAGTTCTACTAGGGCCATGGGGACTGTCCAGAGTCTGTCTTGAGCAGGGCATGCCCCAGCCAGCCCACCCAGAAAGATCTACGATTGACTCTAAGGCTGGAGTTGATACAACTCCAAGCCTATTCCCAACTGGGTGTCTTCCAAGCACCTGCGTCCTCTCCCCACAGCATAGCCATCCGCAGCTTGAAGGCCTCTCGCAAGCATCCCAGACAGCCCGGTCTACTTACTGTTGCAGAGACTGAGGCCCACAGAGGGATAGGGGCTTTTCCAAGTCACACAGCCTACCAGTGATGGAACTAAGCCTAGAGCTAAGGTTCCTCATGCCTATTCTAGGGCTTTAGCAGGTGGGCTAGTGGATGATCTGTTGGCATTTTGACAGTGGCCTTTAAGATAGGATGCCTTATGCTCATTCTGTGATTCTACAGCACTAGAATTTCTTTGCAGATCTTTTGGATGTCCTCGTCTCTCCTTTTCACACCACCCATTCCCATGTCTCCAGCAGCAGAGCTTCAGGTTCATAGGCTGTGCAGCCCAGAGGTCTGAGCCAGGACAGAGAAAGACACGTCCCATCCCCACACACACCCTGTAGGCCATGTGCCTCCACTCAAGACTTTGGCAGGTTGCTACAGCAACCAGAGTCTACCCCGTATGCCACTGCCTGCCCGCTGCCAATGGCACCCAGCTGGGGAGGGGGGCAAGCCTCAGAACTCCTGCATGTCCCAGGCAGGGTCTAGGCATGGGGTGATGGAGAGAGGGGAGTATGGGGGAAGGCAGATAAGGCTCTGGGAGGCCCAGCCAGAAGAAGAGATGCCATAACTGACTTCCTGTGGGATGGGATTTACTGGGGATGGGGTTACCAAGTGGGGTGCCAGGCCCTGGTTTGGAGAAGAAGGTTACAGCCTCCCTGCTCCCTGGAACTGTGGTCTTGGCTCTTGGTCCTTGAAAGGGGCTGTACAGCTGGATCTTGCCTGGCTTTGCTCAGTCCCCTTGCGTGGCATTTTTCCATCAGGAGCAATGCTCAAGGTTGAGAGGGTGACAAATACTTGCTTCCTCATCACACCCATTCCCTGGCCAGCACCAGCTAAGGGCCCACCAGTTGGGTTCCTGTCTCAGGCTGGCAAAGCACTTAGAGGTGGAGACAAGATTCACATACAGGACCATGGGGGCAGCTGCCCAGGATGCGTAGTGAAGGAGCAAGACCAGCAGAGGACAATGGCTTAGCTTCCTTCCTCTTGCCATCCTCCTACTCCTCCCCTTCCTCCTCCACCTGCTGCTTCCCTTCCCCAGCCCCAGACACCACTGATCATGGCAGACCCTCCTCATCCTCTTGAGCACACAGCCTGAAATTCACTGAAAGATGAGAGAAACTCAAGCATTTCTTCCCTAAGCCCCAGAGCCTCAGTTTACTCTTCTCTGAGACAGAGATGATGATGATTTGCACTTCAGAGTGATCTTACAAGGGTTTATTGGGGGCTGAGCATGCAGTGGGAGAACCAATACCCACTCACACTCCTAGAGGATTTGGAGCTCGCTCTCCCACACCTCCTCACCCTCCCAACCCCTGCCATGCTCTGCCACCTCTCCCTGGGTGTTTGGGAGCAACCATAGGCGGGAAGAGTCATTCAAAGGATTAAGTGAGGTGAGGAATGTGAAAGTGCTTTGAAAGCTAAAACTGTGCTGCAGAGGGATATGACGATCAATCATTAATTAGCCTTCATCTCTTCCAGGTTCCCCAATACTCAGGGTAGTATAGGCCAGTCCCAGCGGGCTCTCTAAGATCCTCAAAATTCTGTAGATCTTAGGTTAGAGACGCAGCCCAGCTCAGGGGCCATGAGCATGGGCCCTGCAGCCAGATGTCTCTGGTTCAGACCTGAGCTCTACCCTCTTCCTAGCCATGTGGACTTGAGAAAGTTACTTTACCTCTCTGTGCCCTTTCCCCATCTGTAAAAACGAGGATACTAAATTCTATGCCTCCTCCCTCGCCCCTGCCCCAGGGTTGTTGCAAGAATTAAATGAGTTGCTGTATTTAAGGTACTTAGCACAATGAGGGCACAAGGCTGGCTCCGTTCTGTGAGGTATTAATGGATTGCTCTAGCACTGCCTGCACCTCAGCTCCGTGGACAGCCTTGTTTATGGAGTCACATCATCTTCTTAGCTGTGACCAGGGAGGTCAGGACCGCGTCCTGGCCTGCTGGCTGGGGTCCTTAGTTTCTCCTGTAGAAGGCAGTCTCACGCCCTGCCAGCGGAGAAGGAGGTTAGGGCGTGACCGTGATGGGGTGGGAAGGGGCTCTCGAATAAGGTGGCTTTTGCACAGACACCCAACAGCAGCGAGGGTGCGAGTCGGTGGCTATCTGGGGAAGGCCGTGGGCGCCGCCAGTAGCAAGGTCTTGAGGAGGAAGTGTGCTTGGCGTCTTCAGGATCAGCAAGGAGGCCTGAGCAGCTGGGGGGTGAACAAGGAGAAGGGCAAGAGGAAAGGTCAGAGAGGGGGCAGGGAGTCAGATTGCGTAGTTCCTTGCAGAGTGTGGCATGGAATTTGGATTCATTCTCAGTGAGGATCCGGCACTCGCTGCAGGAGTCTCCTGGTCTTATTTCTGGGTGGGAATCTCCTCCCCCCTGCTCCCCTGGTACCCACTAACTGGAAGCTCCCAAGGGCAGGGTTAAGTGCCCTCATCCTTGTTCCCCCTGGTGTTGGGTGTAACTTTGGGCAGATACTTGGCCTTTCCCTCCTTGGTCCCCCCAACATGCCGCTCAGCGTGGAGGCTCGATAGTGATCCTCGCATTGACCACCTCTATCCCCCAAGCCATCAGTGACTCTTGGGTGGGAAATAACCTAGGGGCACAGTTGCCCACTTTGGCCCCAGGAGTATGAAGGGATGGGCACAGCCTTTCCGCAGCCTGGAGTGGCGGTGGAGGATGCCCCGCCGGTTTTCACAGGAAGCAGGCACCGTGGCATTCTGTTTTCTGGTTGCTCATTGTGCAGTGCCATCGGCAAGGGGCCGCGTCTGAAGGTGGCAGGGAAAGCCATGGGCCATACGAGTGTGAGATAAATGTGGCCTAGCCCGGAAGCAGCTGGAGCAGGAGAGGCTGGGGACCACGGAGCTGTGCCAAAGTGGGTCAGCTCCATCACCCGCAGCTCAGCAAGAATTGCGCGGATTTTTTTCTTATTATTTTTTTCACGCCTTCCTTTCCTCCCTTTTCCCTTTGCCTTCTCCTCCTCCGGACAGATTCACTGAAGCTCCCTAGCCAATTAGGCCAAATTGCAGGATGAGAGCTGTGAATCACGGTCAGCTCGCTCCACCCCTCCCCAACTCCACAGCCCCCCAGGAAGATAATAACGTAATCACAGAATTAAAAAATAATCAGTGGCCATAAATAATGCAGAATCCCCAGTTATGTAACCAGCTGCCTGGGGAGCTAGGAGGGAGGGAAGGAGGGAGCGCTTGCCAGGCAAGGTGAGGCGGGGCAGGGTGGGGAGGATGCTGCTTCTGGGACTCCCGGGCCCTCAGTCCTGGCTCTACGGCCTTAGGAACACGGAAATGCTTTCCGTGTAGAGGGGGCTTGGCAAGGCTGGAGGGAGAGCTGGGGCCAAGCAATCCTGGAGCGCCCAGGACCAGGGAACGCTTCCAGGAGCCCCGGCAGTTTTTGTGAAGCCCTATCCAACTCACCCCTGTATCCAATGGCTGTGTCTGGAGAGTGTGCTGGTCCTGGGCCAAGCTGGGGATACGGTGGGCAAGTAGACCTGGGCCCACCCTCACGAGTTTGCTTTCTAGTGGAGAGACAGATCCCAACCACGTTACAACTGATAAGCGCAAAATCGTAGCAGTGATAAGTAGCGTGTAATGTTTGAGGGAGAGGTGCAGGGCACTTTGAGGGCCTTTCACATGGAACCTGACCTCAGCTGGGGAGCAGGGAAGCTTCCTTTTGGAAGTGACAGGGTGAGTAGGAAAGGAGGGAGGGGCCAGGTGAGGCCCAGAGGCAGGAGCCGTGGGGAGGAGGCAGGCCTGGCAGGATAGGAAAGCTGGTTGGCAGGGAGTTGTGTTTTGGAGGCTCCAGATTTGGGGCACATGGAAGGGCTGGAAGCAGAGAGGCGATGTAGTCCTGTGGCCAATTAGAAAGCGCCTAGATGCACCATGGAGCAGGACAGAGAGTTGCGGTCACTGGGAGGACCAGATGGGTGCCGTTTTTCAGACAAGGGGAGCTAAGGCTGGGACCAGGACAGAGGTCGGGGTCTACCTGGGACAGGGCTGAGGACCCCCACTGGGTTCCGTATAGCCCTCAGTCCTGCCTTTCCTGTCTAGATCTCCCTCTTGGTCTCCCCAGAGCAGGTCATTCTTGGTCTCACGGTGCCATGCCCAGTAGTTAGGATGCAACTTCTGATCTCAGCTCAGCTCCTTCCAGCCTCTGCACCTCCTTTCCCCATCAGCAAGCACACCGGGACGGGGGCTCCGCGGCGTCTCTGTCCCTTCCGGCTCGAGGGTTGTGATTTTATGGCTCCATTTCTCTCTCCACTCTCTCTCCCCCTCTCTTTTCTTCTGTGTATATAATTATTTCCCTGTACTCCAAGACAATCCCAAATTACATGTAGGCAAAATGATTATTAAATCTCAGGGAGAAATCACAGATTTCAAGACATCCAAAGCAGAGAGGCAGGTAGCTCAGGGCCTGCCCTCCACCCTGGTCCCATGAAATGAGGCACCAGGAAGGGCAGTGGGTTTGTGGACTGACCCACGCCCCTGCGTAGAAGCCAGGTACCCTTGGGCACATGGCTTCCCTTCTGATCCTCACTTAGGTTGTTCATCAAGTGGTTGTCACCTGTCCCACCTAACAGACTGAGCCAGATTTGCCTGTGAGCCTCACACAGTCTTCTGGTTCTGTTCTGTCTGGAGACAGCCCTACTTTGGACAAAACAGATACCACCTGTGTGCTGGGATTTGAAAGGCCCAGTATATCCCATTATTCTGCCACAGGCACTGGAAATTTCTCCATCAGAGTGTCCTTCCTTTGGTGCAGAGCTGAATCCCATCTGCTCTAGGGCCTGGGGCCAGGGGCATGGTCACGTGTTAGCACCCATGGGTGCATGGTATATGTTGCTAGTCCACCTTGTTCTCCTAATGCTTTCCAAAATGCATTAAGTCAGTAAATCCCTACAACAGCCCTTTCAGGTTGGTACTGCTAGCATTCTCCTTTGATGAAGAAACAGGTACAGAGAAGTTGAGTAACTTGGCCAAGGTCCCACAGCTGGGAAGTAGTGCGACCTCCAGAGACCAGGTTCTTAATGGCTTAGCTGTGCTGACCCAGAAATTCCAAGCATGTTCATATCTGTCAAATTTTCATCATCGCAGGTGAGGGCGTGCTATTCTGTTTTACAGGGCAGGACACCAAGACTTGGAAGGGGATAATCATTTGCCTAAGGTCTCTCTGCCAAGAGATGGGAATCTTGGGGCTCAGACCCAAGCCTCCCCCTTTCCCTTCCCTCCAGGTCCCCAGGGCGGCACCAGGGAAGGGTGTATAAGGAAGAAGGGGAAGAACCAGAACGTGAAATCCTCCCGAGCGGGTGGTGGCAAGGGTTTTTGGGTGGGGGGTGCATCCTGCATCCCTGCTGCTGGGCCGCGGCATGCGGGACTCGTCCTCACTGAGCATCAGGAGGCTCAGCTTCTGGGCCCAGCCTGGCCTCAGCTGACTCTGTGACATCACAGCCAAGTCATTCAACTCCAGATTCCTGCTGGCATTCTCCCCACCCTCAGGCAGAAGCAGACTGTCAATAGCTCCGGCTCAGTCAGGAGAATCTCACTGGAGAATGTAGCAGGGCCTCTCCTAAGGCTGGCAGTGCCTCACGTTGCTGAGTCTCCACCCGGCTTAAATCCCCGGTACCCTAGGCTGGTGTCAGGGTGTGTCCTGGACCCACCGCGCAGCACAGCACGGGAGCATGTTGGTGTGCCCCTTCTCTGGCCCCGAGCCAGGCCTGCAGAGTCAGACTCTGGGGAGAGAGCTGAGGCCCACGCAGCTCTGAGGACCCCTGCTCTAGGCCAGAGTCCCGCCAGCCTGGGGGGAGCGTGGGTGGGGCAAGGGCCCTGGGGATGTGAGCATCCCTAGGGAGAGGGGTTGTCCTGGGCAGGCAGCACAGGGAGGGGGTTGCCAGACTGGAGGGTGGGGCCTGTCCCCACTGCCTGCCAAGCCCCGCAGTCACAGCAGCACCACACGGCAGTGTGCAGTTTTCTCGGGGACTGTGGAAATGGGAATCTCAGCTCCCCCAGGGACCCGCACCTCTGACTCCCCTTCAGTAAACTCGGAGATAATGATCTGGTGGGTGGAGGTGAGCACTACAAAGCGTGGGCAGAAAGCCCGGCACATAGTAGGTGCTCAGAGAGGGGTGGTGATGTCACTCTGTCCCCAGTGCTGCACAGACGCCTTTTGCTGCCCCCTTCACTGTACCCCAGGAAGCTGTGGTGAGGTTGGTGGGACTGGGGTTTTCATCCCCACTTGCTGGAGAATCAAGTTGAGGCCCAGAGAGGTTATGTGACTTGCTCAAAGACACACAGAGCCCAGGTGTCCTGACTCCCCCAGCTCTTCTGCAGGACTCAGCCCAGTGGTTTCTCCACTCCTGGCTGGGGACCATGGCGAGAGGACATTCCTAGGCACCAGTATCCAAAACAGCTTCTCAGTGTCACTGCTGTGGACACAGAGTCCTAGAATCTCGGAGATGGTAGGAGCCTTGGAGATAACCTCGTTCACCCAGCCTTTCCCTTTGCAGACTGAGCAGCTGGCCCAGAGAGGGAAACTGCTGACTGGGGCACCTGCGTCCTGCCCCGGTCCTGACCAGTAGCCGCCCCTGGCCCATACCACTCCGGCCATCATTGTCATTCTTGCTTCCTCCTTTGCTTTAGAGAAAGCACCCAAAGCGACCCCACTCCTTGCCAGACGTGGAGCACATCCCTGGACAGCAGTAGTCCTCAGTAAATGTTTGTTGAATGAAGGACTTAATTAGTTAATTAGCTGACTGCTTGGACCCCGGGTGAAGAACGTGGGAGAGGCTCTGAGAGCTGGGTCTGGTCTTGGCGGCTCCCTGTGTCTCTGGCTCTGGGTCTCTGTCATGGACTCAGTCCTTCCACTTTGTATTGTTTTCGGCTGGAATCTTCTCTTGCGCTGTCCTCTCTCTGCATCTCTGACCGGGTCTCTCTCTTGCCCTCGCTGTCTTCCTCCCTGATTTATGTGCTGACAGTGGCCCGGGAAAGGGGGTGTCCTGAGGCGAGGCTGCTCAAATGGAAACTGAGGGCTTCGCGCTGTGCAGGGCAGGCAAGGAGCAGCGACCTCCTCAGCTGAGCTGCCCCGAGTGCGTTTAACAAGCAGCTCTGGGTTCTTTATTGCTCTCCAAATAGTGCCTGCCTGTTCCTTCCCCAACAAGCCAGGCTTGTCTCGTTCAGCAGCGGGCAGGAAGGGAAGGAGCAGGAGGCTCCAGGGCATGAGGTGCGGTGCGGGAATCTAGCCAGTGCCATACACCTGGTGGGCACCTATGGGTGACAGTCACTGATCGGCTGCAGGGACTGGCCCAGGAGGCTTTAGAAGCCTGGACAGGGCCTTCCGTGTGGTGACCACATGTCATTCTCTTTCTGAGGGTGGGTGGGCTGCTCATCTCTCCTGAATGCTGGAGTTCCTCAGCCCCTCTTAAATGGCCGTCTCAAGCAGAGGAAGAAGCCCTGCTCACCAGGGCCGCCCCTGAACACCGGCCGTGTGTCTGGGAGAGGGGCGTGTGGATGGATGGGGTACAGGGCCGGAAAGCAGACCCTTTCCCCCCAGAGACTGCAGAGTGGTGAACAGGCATTTGGGAAGGGCGGGAACAATCCGTCCACCCGGGCCCAGTGGGCCTTCCACAGAGCAACAAACCTGTGGCCTCAGGCCCAGTCACCAGCCAGGGGCTCTCCCAGGGCAGGGTGGAGGCGCGCTCACGCCCGTCCCCTCTCATCTCTCCCCTTCCCTGGTCAGGTGGTGAGCCAGATCGATAAGCTAACCTCAGACTTCGACTTTGAGCTCGAGCCGGACGACTGGACCACGGCCACTGTGAGCAGCACCTCTAGCAGCGACAAGGCGGGCGTGGGCGGCCCCTTTGACCTGGGCCACGTGGACTTCATGACAGCTGACATCCTCTCGGACAGCTGGGAGTTCTGCTCCTTCCTGGACGTCTCCACCCCCTCAGACTCTGTGGACGGCCCCGAGTCGACGCGGCCAGGGGCTGGCCCTGACTACCGGCTCATGAACGGTGGCACGCCCATCCCCAACGGGCCACGAGTAGAGACCCCGGACTCCTCTAGTGAGGACGCCTTCAGTGCTGGCCCCGCGAAGAGCCAGCTGCCCCAGCGGACCCCAGGGACGCGGGAGAGGGTGCGGTTCAGTGACAAAGTGCTCTACCACGCGCTGTGCTGCGATGACGAGGAGGGGGACAGTGAGAAGGAGATGGAGGAGGAGGCGGGCCTGCCCCCGGAGCCTGCCCGTACAGAGGCCCCCACAGGCCCCCACCAGCCCTCCCCAGCCCCCTACAAGCCAAGGCGCTCTCCACTGACCAGCCGCCGCCCAGGCCCCACCTCGGCCCCCGACCAGCCCCGCAGGGTCACGAGGAACAGCAGCACCCAGACGGTGTCAGACAAGAGCACGCAGACGGCGCTGCCCTACACGGCCACTAGGCAGAAAGCCAGAGGGAAGAACTAGGGGCCGGGGAGGGGCTGGGGGGCAGTGGGCACACAGAGCTATAAATATATATATATTTAAACACATGCAGTCATAATAAAATTTTGAAATGCTAAGGATCCAGCCCCACAGGCCTCGGCGCTTTCACTGAGCTCGTCTTAGACACGAGATGCCCACTTGCCTCCCAGGTCCCAGGAGTGTGGCGGAGCCGCCCTCTCCCCTTCTCCTTGCAGGGCTCCTGAAGGGGGTGTCTGACAGTATGTAAATGAGACGGGAGGTCTAACCTGGCCCCCCCAAGCCTCTGAGCACCACAGTGGATTCTGGCTGCTGGCCTGGGCCAGGGCCTGGAGGGGACGCCTCCGCAGGAGGCAGGCTGTAAAGGGAGCAGTGTCCTCGGGGCCAGGGCTCCCGGTTGGGATGATGTGTAGACTGCAGGACTGAGGACCTGGGGATAGCATCACTCTGGCGGGGCCCTGGATCACTTGCACCTGCCATCCTTCTACTCCAAGGCAGACTTACCTGGATATACACAACCCTCACCGCCTTCCAGCTTAGGTTTGGCCAGGACGTAGAGGAAGGGCAAGCTCTGTGTGGGGCAGGCCTCCAGCTGGGATGCTGGGCTTCCACAGAGCCTGGAGGGTCAGGCTGGGCTGGGCAGAAGTTTGTTTGGAGAGCCCTGACGGCTCCAATCCTTTCAGCTCCTGTTCTCAGCCTGGTCCTGAGACCAGGACCAAAGCCTCAGGGCCAAGCCTCAGCTAGGCCCTAGCTTGGCCCTCAGCAGACCTGAGATCTGTGCGAGAAAGCAGGCAGCAGCTGCGAGGCTGTGCACCAGCCTCCTGACCCCTCCTACCAGGCAGGCAGCCTTGGGGAGCAGTCCAGTGGCCCTACTCTGCCCCCGCACCTCCACACTCAGGCCCTGAGCCCACCTTAGCAGGTCTTAAACAGAGACCAGGTAAGAGCCTAGAGGCACTAGGGCTTCATACAGGCATGGTCTGCACAGGGTCAGCGTCTGCATATCCTTGGGGTAGTCATCACAATTATTGCTCACATCTACCGAGCAGGTCTCTATGCCAGATACATCTGAGAGCATCACCTCATTTAATCTTCACAATAACCCACAAGATAGGAACTATTATCCCCATTTTTCAAATGAGAAGACTGAGGTTCAGAGAGCTTAAGTAACTGGCCCAAGATCACAGAGCCTGTGCCACCCTGTCCTCCATGAGCCAGCTCTGCTATCTAGCAGCTGTGTGACCCTGAGCAGGTCCATTTGCCTCTCTGAGTCGACCTACCTCATATATAAAATGGGTCTGAGAGTCCTCACCTACCTCACCAGCAGCTGTGGGGCTCCCACAAGGCAGAGAATGTGAAAGCACTTAATACACTGACAGCACTGGACACTCTGTGGCCAGTGGGGCTCCAACCCAGGTTTTTCAGTGATTTCCATGGCCAGGGGCCCAGAGTGGGGAAAGAAGCCACGCCCATCCAACTGGGGGCTGTCCCTGGGTCAGAAGTGCTGGGCCACTTTATGCCCCCCAGTAGCCTGAGGTCAGGAGGTGGCCACAGCTTGATGCGCTGCCCCTCCCTGTGAGCAGGGAGGTGGCACCATTGGCACAGCAAGGACGGCGCCCCTCAGGGGCCTCCCTGCCACGCATTTCAGTTAAGGCAGATTGACAGCCCACCGGGCCTGTCGAGAAGGGGACCCTGCCAGCAGGCCTGGCAGCACCCACTGCTCCTGCCTGAGGAGGCGCTGTCCAGCCCGCTCTGGGGCGACAGTGAGACTGTGCAGGTCAGTCTGCAGCAGGTGCAGGGGGGTACCACCAGGAGACTGGGCAGACAGACCTGGGATGTTCTGCAGTGTTGGGATTGCTCCTCGAGCCCGTGCTGAGATCAGAGCCCTAAGGAGCCAGCCAGGGTGCAGCCTCCACAGTGAAAATCCAGGGACGCTGCAGGCCCTGGCCACTCCCCCAGCTCAGGCGTGAGAGCCAGGGCTCTGAGCCCTGTCGGCCCCAGGAAACTCAAGCAGTTGGTGCTGAGCAGTGATAGGTCTCTGGCTCGGAGGATGAGTGCCAGGGGCTCTGCCACCCTGACGGTGTGGGGGCAGTCCCCTCCCAGGAATGGGTCCACCTGGCTCTCATGTGGACATCCAGTTCTCCTCCTGAACTTGTTTTTCATGTCCAATGGCAAGATCATTTTTATACTCATAGTTTCTCATCTTTACAAAAGTCAGAGAAAAGAAACCTACAGAATAGTTCCCATTTCACAGAGGAAGAAACTGAGGGCCAGGGGCAGAGGCCTCTGGGAGAGGCCTGGGTGAGGAACTGACCTCTGCTGGGAGAGCCCCCCACCCCTACCCAACTGCTTGCCCAGAGACGGCAGTGGGACAGTGTGTCCTGGAAGAGGGGAAGTGGGTTGTGTAATGGATACAGGTTCACCTTGGGGAAGGCCCCAAGAGCACTTGGCTGCTTTCGGAATCCTGCCGCGCCCAGCCTGGGCCTCACTGACAGGGGGGTGGTTCCCCCGGCTCCTTGTGACTTCAAACACAGGACTCTGACTGCCAGCGCTGCTGAGCCACGGAGCGGGCTGCTTCTGGGTCCTGACTCCTGTCCTTGGGGCGACACAGCCATCCCTGGGACCTTCCTGCAGCCCTTCCAGGTACAGCCCTTCACTGCTCTTCCCTGACTCCAAACCTCGGCCGGTTTCTGGGTTTCCTCACCCAGAAAGTCCCATCGGATCTCTCTGCTTCCAGAAGTCCTGTTTCACTGACCACCCCCTGTGTGCATAGGCTTGTGCTGGCCGGTGCTGTGGAGGGGCAGGGAGCCAGGCCCTGCGACAGAGAGCAGTCCTGTCATAACAGACAACTCGCGTTCGCTGAGCACGCGCTGTGCACGGGCGGCGTTCTAAGCGCAGGCATTGTCTCGCTTAGTCCTCACAGCGATTGAGATGAGCGACTCACCTACGCCTCCATAGTTTCCAGATGAGGAAACAGAGGCTCTGAGAAGGGAAACGACTTGCCTAAGCATACACAGGATGGGTTACGGACCTAGGATGGGACCTCAAACGCAGTGACTGTGCACCCAGACATCTGTTGCCGTCAAAATACATGGTGAAGCTGGTGCTCTGGTCCCAGGGGCTGAGGGGCTGAGAGCCTGGCAGGCCTTGGGAAGTAGCAGGGTGGGTATTGGAAAGAGGAAACCTATGGATGTGGTTCAGACTTGGCAGGACTTGGCTACTGTTCACTTGAATATCATAACTCCTGGCTCAGGGCCTGACACTGAATGGATTATGGGTTCAGTAGATGTTTGTTGAATGAATAAATGAGCGCCACTTGCAGAAGGGCATCCATCGTGCATTCATTCAATCAGCTTTTCTTGCAGACCTCCCAGTGCCAGGTCTCACACCGCTTGCACAGACACATGCACACAACTCACCTGGGAGGGCCTGGTCTGCTGTGGCTAGGGGCTGGGCAAAGTCAGAACTGAAGGGTGTGGGTTTCGGCGCTGAGAAGCCAGAGGCGGTGCTGGTCTAACCTGGAATGCCTCGGGAAGGAGGCAGAAGTGGGAGGGAGCCAGCCTGGTGAGGAGAACGCGCCGGGCCGCGTCCTGGGGAGGGTGGAGAGGGGCCCCAGCCAGACCCCGTGTTAATGAGGCAAGCAACTGCCACGTCCCCAGTGTGTAGGAATGAGGAGGCATCACTGTCTCCATTCTACAGACGGGCAGGTGGTGTGGTCTGCAGAAGGGCCTAATGCGGCCAAAGGGCAGAAGGAGGCAAACCATTCAGAGACCCCAGCGCCATCCCCTGTCCTCAGAAACAAAGTGAAGCCATGTCAACAAGAAGGGAAAGAGGGGAGCCGGGAATTAACCACTTCGGAAGCCTCGCCCACAGCCAGCACTCGCAGTCGGCGCGGTGGCGTGCGCTGCGCATTGACAACGAGTCCGGTTTGCTCTTGTGTGACAAGGAAAGCTTTAAAGCACTGACAGCTTGTTTTACTTTCCAGGCAGCTTTACTTGTAAATCAGAATAGGTAGCATATACATATATATGTTTTCATTACATTATATACATATATGTTTTCATTACATTATTTTTAAATGTTCACAATTTTATTTTGATAAATGAAAATTAGAAAAGTCGTGTCACGGCTGTCGGCTACAGTCCTGCGCGCGTTCATCTGTGGCTGTCGACTACAGTCAACGCTGGTCCCGAAGTGGTTAAGGAGGCAGCAGGCCCAGCCCTCCCCCAACCCCTCCTGCGCCCACCTGCGTCCCGTCCCACAGCGGGGACTTGTGTAAGAAAACTGACATTTATTAACAACCTAGTACACCAGGCACCAGGCCACATCTTTTAGCTAACACTAAATGACAGATTCAGTTGTGCCCAGAACAGAATACTTTGCTCAATAATTATTTATTGAGTAAATGGACTAACCACAATTCTTATTTTACAGGTCTGGGAGGAAACTGAAGAACAAATAAGGAATTTGTTGAAAGTGAAAAACCGGCAGCACTGGGGACTGACATTCTATTATTGCTCACCCTACCTAAGTGCTGCTATTTATTTATTTATTTAGAGACAGAGTCTCACTTTGTTGCCCAGGCTAGAGTGAGTACTGTGGTGTCAGCCTAGCTCACAGCAACCTCAATCTCCTGGGCTCAAGCAATCCTCCTGCCCCAGCCTCCCGAGTAGCTGGAACTACAGGCATGTGCCACCATGCCTGGCTAATTTTTTCTATATATATTAGTTGGCCAATTAATTTCTTTCTATTTATAGTAGAGACAGGGTCTTGCTCTTGCTCAGGTTGGTTTCGAACTCCTGAACTCAAACGATCCACCTGCCTCGGCCTCCCAGAAAGCTAGGATTACAGGCGTGAGCCACCGCGCCCGGCCCTCAACTTGATTTTAGGCCGGGCTATTAGAGCCCACTCTGCTTCCCAGAGGGTCCACGACATTGACAAGGTGACCCTTGTCCAAAGTGTCCAGGTCCAAAGTGTCTTCCTCGCTGTTCATATCTCTGGCAGAGCCAGGAAGTCCAGCCTGTCCTCAGCCCAGTAAACGTCCAAGCCCTTTCTGGTCTGGGCTCACCTGGCTCCCTCTGGGGGCTGGGGTATTTAGGAAAGA